TGGCTTCCTGATGGCCTTTGGCTTGTTCCGTGCTCCAGGCGTGCATCTACAACCAGCTGGTGTCCAGGCGGGTGTTCATGCGTTGTCGTATGTCCTTGCGTTTCAGGAAAATGTTCATTGGAGGCCTCAGCTGGGACACCAGCAAGAAAGACTTGACAGAGTATCTCTCTCGGTTTGGCGAGGTTGTGGATTGTACAATTAAAACAGACCCAGTCACTGGGCGGTCGAGGGGGTTTGGGTTCGTGCTCTTCAAAGATGCAGCCAGTGTGGAGAAGGTGGGTGGATTTCTTGTGGATCAGTGGCTAGAGCATGCCTTTGTCACTGCAGTGATCTGAGACTTTGTTTCCTTCTGTCATTCTTAGGTGTTGGAACTGAAGGAACACAAACTGGATGGGAAGTTAATAGATCCTAAAAGGGCAAAAGCCCTAAAGGGGAAGGAACCACCAAAAAAAGTGTTTGTTGGTGGGCTGAGTCCGGATACCTCTGAAGAACAGATTAAGGAGTACTTTGGTGCTTTCGGCGAGGTATAGTATGTTGGGTAATAAGAACAGCTCTGGTTTTCAAGTGCGGTGTTGCCTTGTGTCTTAAGACAGAAGAATTTGGGAGGAGAGAGCTTGCTCAGGCTTACATAACGCTAGGGATTGTTGAACCTATAGGCATGTTAATGGTTCCACAGTGTTATGATGAGCTGATTCGTAGCTGTCAAAAGCTCCGATAGCTGCAGTCTGCCCTGAGTGGCTTAGTTCACCTGATGCAAACTTCTGTGTCTGTAGCAATTGTCATGACTGTAATCAAGTAACACCACAGCTCCTAAGTGGAGCAGGTTATTACAATTATACATAAGAGCTGGTGAGATGTCTGCTGAAGGCTGTTGTTGGCACAGACGTTGGACTGCCACATGGCTCTGGTAGCATAAAAAGTTGCTTATGGAGTTAATGTGGTATTGATAGGTACTTTTTTGTTTCAGATTGAAAACATTGAGCTTCCCATGGACACAAAGACAAATGAAAGGAGGGGCTTCTGCTTTATCACATACACAGATGAAGAGCCAGTAAAGAAGTTACTAGAAAGCAGATACCATCAAATTGGTTCAGGCAAGGTATGGAAGCTCTTGTTCTTAGCATGTGAAATAGACCATTTCCGTAGGCTTCCCTGAAAGCAGTTAACAAAATGGTCATGAAATTCTTGATGACTTAAAGAATTTCTGTCTTTACAGTGTGAGATCAAAGTAGCACAGCCTAAAGAGGTATACAGGCAACAGCAGCAGCAGCAGAAAGGAGGAAAAAGCAATGCATCTGGTGGACGAGGAGGTGGAAGGGGGCGTGGACGGGGTGAGTGTTTTGGGTGTTGAAATGAATGTAACTGCTGAAGTGTCTGCACCAACCACTAAGGTGTTTGTAGTTATTCCTGGGTTTGGGCTGCACACAGATCTTATGTTTAAACTGAATGTGGAAAGTAGCCAAGTAGCTACTAAACATGTTAAATGGTATTTTTTTGGTGGTTCTGGTTGCTTGTGGAAGCTTAAGAATCTCTTGCTTTGCTTGCATTCAAGGTGAAGTGGCAGGCTGGATGTGGGGTGTTCTTGTAGTTCTTGTAAACCCACTGTTGGCAGCATAACTAAATGGCTAGTGCAGTTATCCTTTCATGTGAAGGGATGCACTGTTAGTTGGCTCATGGGTGAGAAATCATGAGCTGTACTCACAGTCACTTTGCTACACCCTGGAAACAGATGAGAAGTGAGCAGCTGTTACGTTACAGGTTAATGTATGTCAGTCTCAAAGTCAAGTGGTCACAACCAATATAATCCAGTAAAGATAATCCTGTGGTATAACTTGATGTTTGTGCAATTAGTGATCTAAAACAGATACTAGGAAAACAACAGGAGCTGCTGCAGTGCATGCCTTCTGTGTTGGGTTGTTTTATTTTTCTTAGCTATTTTATGAGCAGGACTAGCTGCTGTCCTTAACGTTATCATGGGTGATAAGATCGTATGACCCATCTCTCATATCCAAAGGAGTTTTCTCAATTCTTTTTAGAAAATTCTTTTTCTTGGGTTGTTGGGAAGGTGAGAGGTTTATTCCAGGTAGTCGTTCTGGCATAGAAAGATTGCAGATTAGATGAAGTGGCATAGGAGAAGAGTGAAATAATACTAAGTTCTGTAACTTGTAAACGCTGTACTTGGGTTTCAGGTCAAGGACAAAACTGGAATCAGGGATTTAATAACTACTATGATCAAGGATATGGAAACTACAATAGTGCTTACAGTGATCAAAGCTACAGTGGCTATGGTGGATATGACTACTCTGGGTACAACTATCCCAATTACGGATATGGGCCAGGATACACAGATTACAGTGGTGAGTGGTTTTGATCTCAGTTCATAATAGCATGCATCTTTAAATGGGGGTTTCTTTGTTCTGTAATGCTTCTTACTCATAAAACATGGATCTAAAAAGAGGATCCCTGTTGGTATGCTCTGTGGGAACAATCTGCTTCAGTGTTGGATGTTAATTGTAATGCTTCCGGATGTGTCCCCCCCCCACCCCTGTTATCTACAGGTCAACAAAGCACATATGGAAAGGCATCCCGTGGTGGCGGCAATCACCAAAACAACTACCAGCCGTACTAAAGCAGTACCTAGTACTTGAGGAAACAGGTGTGTACATGAGTGCAAGGTCCACTCTGAGTATGTCTAATCTAATTTAAAGATCAATAGACAAATGAAGATTAAAAACTTGCGTAGCATGACTTTTCCTTTAATTAAACTTTTGTTAACTTAAAAAATATTTTTTTTTTAAAAACAGCTTTGCCTACAGTGTCTATAGATCTTTAACTTTGTAAAAATGTGACTTTATCTTCTTTAGTACTTCAGAAAAACATAAGAGTTTTTCTGTTTTGCGTTGTGTACCAGGTGGTCTAGAGGAATAATTAAACTTATTAGAAGTATTAACAGGTAAAGTACTGAAATGGGTACAACTTAAGGAAAACAAGAATGTTGTCTTCTAACTCTGACATTATACCTTGTTTGTACCCGCCAGCGGGAACTTCATTGCAGGCCGTGTGTCACCCTGACCACGTCTATCTCTGGGGTCGCACGTTGCAGGCAGAGCGCAAGGCATACACCAGAAAACGCTGTCCTGTGGTATGGTCTCTTCCAACTTCATGTACCAGCGTAAAGATTAAAGTGGAAAACTTCAGACTTTGGCTTCTTTTTTTAAAAATCTTTTTGGAGATTAAGTGTCTTAACTTAAATGGTTTTTTGCAGGAGTTAAAGTACATAAATGCCTTTACAGCTTAATCATTTGGTCTTCTGTTTAGTGTTGTATTTCAATTGTGGAACCTCATTTTAAGTGTGCATTCTTTAAGATTTAATGCTTGCTTTTTTTCTTTTTATAGCTAATAGTGAAATCTGCAAACCAAAATGAACTTTTAAATCTGGAAAAACATTAAAGATCATCTGCAGGTGGACTGTTTGAACTAATTTGACCTGACTGGTGTTTGCACAGCAGTCATTTAGATGGATAAACAAATAATGGGAAACCCTTTTGGCAGTGTTTCCAGTGGAAAAAACTGATCCAGAGCTTGATGAATAGTGTGAATTTGGATGTGTGTTGTTCTGGAACAGCTTCCTCAATGGGCTGAATGGCTAAATTTGGGAAGATAAATTTCTGATGGGCAACAAAACCTCTTGTGTTACCTTAATAAATATGCATATGATCTTTAACAGTGAAGAAAGGAATATATAGAAGACTTAAAGCAGTTCATGAAAATGGACCTTTTAACGATTCTTGTAGTAACTTGCACAGATCTGACATACATTTTTTGTCTTGATTTTTAGGTAGAGATAACTGCAGCAAAGACATCTTGCAGCGCATCGTGAGTGAATGGAGGGTGGTCTTCATGAGAGGAAATGACTATTTTGTAAAAGACTTTCAGTGTACACAACTTGTGTCCAACTGTACATAGCAGCTGACTAGTTTTCTTTTATGGTTTTTACTTTCTTTTTGCCATTCATGTTATGACACAATGTGGACTTGTGTTTATACAAACTTTATTTGTATAATTTCATGTTAAAGGATTCTCTAATAAATGCTTACTTAAGTGAGTGTGTAGTCTTGAAGTTGGCTGCCAGGTGACAGGGTATAACTGTACTTGTAGAGAACAGCAGGTACCTTTCTGAAGATTATGAAGGGCTTGAGACAAGGTTATGGTGTATACAGGTCAGTACAACCTCCTCCTCAGCATCCCTAGGGAAGACAGCAATCTTGTCTTCAGCCAGCTGCAGGAAAGAGGGAGAGAGTGGTCTGTGCCACAGCGCTGCCACCCTCGTACATCTTGAGGAACAGCTCTAGAACTACAGCAGCCCCTTTTTTATGCCAATAGCACAGCACGAGGGGTTGCTGGGCAAGATCTGTATCGCCTTGCAGGGTTTTTCACGCACTCAAGCTCTGGAATACCTAAGCCTATACTTTACCATCCCTTGCTCCTTGCCTATTCTGGTTCCAACCACGAGCTGACATCTTCCTGAGCTGAGGGTCAGCCACCTCCTTTCTGCTCAGGCCGATCTGCTCCAGGGCAGCCGTGCTGCCAGCACTGCCTCGGAGCCAGCTGCACGCTCTGCTTTAGTGTGCTCTGATGCTTCGCCATAGACAAAAAACCACTTCAAGAGTCACACTTTCTTCAACCACTAGCAATTTATGTTTTAAATGGAAGACCTACTTTTTTTTTTTTTTTTTGTGAAGGCCTCACCTTTGGGCCTGCATGCTCTGGCTGGCACTGGGGTGCTCGGTCCTGAGAGCCACGGCACGCAGGTGCGCGGCCTATGGAGGAGACCCGCGCCCTGCTCCGCGGTGCCCACCCGAGGAGTGCCAGGCGCGGCGGCAGGCGGCA